TGTGTATTACTACAGGAAAAATTTGCCTTACAAATCTTATATCAACGAAATGCCCACCACCTACAACGATGCAGAGCCGATAGAGGTTTGTTAGAATATAATAGAGACAGACTCTATGAGCGATATGAGAAATGGAAAAATAAAACTTATGCAGAGCACCAGAATATTTTAATTTTAAATCAACAAATTTTTGCGCTTCAAAATAAATAACAATAGAAGAGGTATGGCAGGATATGCACCCCCAACTTACCACGGATATCCTGATGAAGATCTAGAGGAATTTATTGATTCTTTTCGTTCATATCTCGTGGCTGCTGGAATTGATGTAGCTGGTGGGCATGCCGATAGAGTTCGTACACATGGACTTTTTGAAACATGCCTTAAAGGCGATGCTAAAGATTGGTATGAAAGAACTATTCGAAGAAAAATTGGGAATTGAGAAATTTACTGGATAACACTGGACAGGGCACTTTAGCTCTGGTTCAAGGACGAACAGTAGCCCAGTTAGGTGCACAGGCCTTAAATTGTGCAAATGGACAAGCTGGTAATATTGTAATTCCAGCCCATACGGTGTTTGAAGAAGATTGGTCTTATGCCGATAGAAGACTAACAGATCGTTTACCCAATGCACCCAATGCACCCAATGCTAATACAGGAGCTACTGTAGTTGTGGTTGGAATTATGCTTGGCCAAGTATTATATTGGTTTAAGACCAATTATCTGCAGAGAAACAGCGAGTACTTTTTGGTTTGACTATCCAAGAGAGTGACCCAGTTGGCCGTTTTTATTCAAAATTGCGTAGATTGGCCAGACTCGCCGATATTGATGAAGGACAAATTCGATTGCAATTTCTTCATGGGCTTTCGCCAGCCAATCAAATAGAAGTTTGATGTATGGGAATCGAAAAACCCGTAGATGAATTACTCCCAAAACTTGAAGAAATTGAAAGATTTACAGCGAAACAATTATCTGGAGCTTACCTGTATTCAAACTCAGATTCAATCTCTTCAAAAAAAGCTCATAGAAAGGATAATTACTCAGGTATGACCGAAACTGAAATTAGAAACTTGATAAAATCTATGACGACACCTGCACAAACCCAACCTGTTTCTTCACAATCAGTTTCTCAGGAAATACAACCAACACAGCCATCTAAAGCTTATTATGGACCACAACCCCCAGGAATGCACCAAACTATATGAGATACAAATATTGGTAGATTTTTACAATAGATCACTAGGGAAGTTCCAGAATTTATTCCTATTCCAAAGCCTGATTTACCCTCAAACCTAGTAATAAAAAAGAGTAAAGTTGACTCCAGTGAAGAATTAACTAATCGTATAGATAAGTTATCAATAAATACAGTTGTAAATAAAGCTGTGAAAAAAGCTATTAAGTCACAACGCCGGTCTCGAAAAAAGAAAAAGAGAAGCAAGAAGTCTAAAAAGGGTAAGGTTAATCTTGCTACTGTAGATTCAGATTTAGATACTTCCTCCAATACTTCTTCTAGTGATAGTTCTAATACAAGTTCTTCTGATTCTTCTGATTTTGAAAGTGAACTTAGTGTTCATATAGCTAAGTCAAAAAAAAAGTGAAGCAGAAGTCTAGCGCCATGCCGAGAGACATTCCACTAGATGAAACTATTCGTAAAGTTCTCCTAAGTGAGCTTAAATTAATTTTTCCTGAACGTTTTTCCCATGAATCCAATCCCATTATGTCCAAACAGATAGTGGCTCCTATAGAGGCAGAGTTAGTATCTCAAAACAATACCCATTCAGCTTCTAAAGATTCATCTTCAGATGAGTCCAGTCTAGAGGAAGAGTCTTTAGACGATCCTATGGAAATCTATTTCGTTCAGAAAAAGGAGCCAAAAACAAGTGCGACTATAAAGTGCAAAATTAAGTGCTTGAAGATTCCAGCCATGAATCTTGACTCCGGAGCTGAACCTTCAATTATAACAAAAAATATTGTTGATCGCATTAGGAATAAAATTGATAAATCTGAAAAACATGACCTTAGCGGTGTCGCTACTGTTTCTATTGAATCTATTGGTATTATCCGCAATTTGCCAATTATTTTAGCTCCAGGACTTACTATTCATAAAGATTTTATAGTTGTAGATTATTATAAGCCAATGCTAATATTTTCTAACCAACTCTTAAAGAAATACAGATGCATAGTGGACTGGAATACAAATGAGCTAAAGATTCCTTTCAATGGAAAAGATTATATTATCCCAGTCACTATGCATAAGGTCAAGAACAAGCTCGAGGTGAATTGTGCGACCACTACTCCCGAATGTGATAAATCCTCGACCCTGGACTGTATTTCGCAGGATTTAAGTGAAGATGATGATGTATTAAAAAAAAAGTGAGTTATAAGAAACTTGAAAAAATGCTATATAGCACTCTTAAGTATAATGCAGAAATCAATGAGTATTGTGAAAGATTACAGACACGCTATAATGAACTTCTTGCCGAAGGTTGGTAGAGGAATAGGTGAGTTATTTTTCTAATATACTCTTCATATTTTTTACGTTTCTTTCAACTATCTTCTTATATGACGTGCATAATTCCTCTTTGTTTATATCTGAGCTTTCTAAATTCACAGAGAATGGTTGAATCGGTCCTAAAGGAGGCATCTGAGTAACAGGTGGTTCAGAAATACAAACGGACTTGGACCTAGATTTTTCTTTCGGCTTAGTTCCTCTAGTCTTTTTTTTCTTGCTATCAGTCTTGCTGGGGCTAGATGCCTTTGGGAGCATATTAGCTAATATATATTCACCAATCTGTTGCAGACGTTCATTATTATCCCATATATCAGAGATGCGATTTTTATTGATATGGTAGTCTCTTATTATCATATACGCAGAGACCTTATTTTTAAGGCATCTGATTTCTTCGACCTGCTCCGGTGTTAAAACACTGGCACCTCGTCGATAATGAGTTTTTAAAAATTAGGTAGGCATTAATCCTCCAGTATTTTTAGCAATATTTTAGAATGATAAAAAATGATAAAAAATATTATTTATTGTTTTAGGACGATAAAGAATTATAAAAAACATTATTTATTGTTTTAGGACAACAAAGAACGATAAAAAACATTATTTATTGTTTTAGAATAGTAAAGAATGATAAAAAGTGATATTTATTATTGGAGAACGTTTGTTATTATATGGGAGAAGGCAGGCCAAATTATCGATTAATGTTTGGATAGATTTTTATTCACGCATTTTTTTTTTCTTCTATGTAACCATGCTAAGATTATGTCCAATGTGTACACACTGAAAGATCTTAATAAAAGGAGACATCGGCTGGGTAGTGTATATAAGCAAGAGCTCGAAAAAAAAATAAGATCTGTTACCGAATTTAACTCTGAGATTAACGATCTCAGTGAAAAGCTGGTAGATAAATATAATGAGCGGGAAAAGGAGTATCAGCGAAGCTATAGTGATATTGGAAATAAGATTAGCCAATTAAATGTATCTAGCACTAAAGTTAGATCCCAACTTATTTCTGAACAAAAGTTTCATTCTGAGAGTCAATGTGAGCTTGAAGCCAAATACACTGCCGAAATCAAATCGCTCAAATCTTCTATTAAATCATTGAAAGGAGAAGCGACCTTGGCCCAGAAAGCTTTATCCCTCGATAAGGTCAAGATTATTTCTCTTGAAGCTAAGATAGATGAATTGGAAGCTAAAATAAAGCACCTAGAACTAAAACGAGTGGGTTCCTCACCACCTATATCCCAAGGTTTGAATATAGTAGAAGGCTTACTAGAGAAGCCAGCCCAAATAAACTTATCCGAAATCGATTCTCTCAGGCTTGAATTGGGACAGGTAAAGGAGGATTTAAATTTAAAAAAACATGAAATAGAATGTATGGAAAAGGGGATCGAGGCAACAGATATTATATATAAACGGGAATTAGATAGATTATATTCGGCACAATCAAATTTGATGGAGGAAAATTCTCACCTCCGAGTTTTAGTATTAAAGAAAGATAATGAAGTAGTCCCAGAAAGATCAGCTGAGTATGAGCCTCCCCTTACGAATGATACGAAAGAAAGAGTGAGTAAACAGGTTCCAAAAGAACTACAACTTTCTGCTCTTAATCCTCTACCCTCCCAAATATTTTCTGTAAGTGGCGCAGAAGCCGAGCCTTTACTAACAACTGTCCCTATCATTCCGGATTCCTCAATGATGCCAATGATAATATATTCCATACTTACCTTGCTACTAATTGCAATTATATAGCTCATGGTTAGGAAAAAAAGCGATCAATATATTCAGACTAGTGATTTACATCCCTGGGTATATCCGAGGCCGGACTATGTGATCGAAAGGCCAGGCCGGAAGAGGTTACCTCGTGACCAGATCGAATATAGGAATTGAAGTTAGCCAGTATTATTGTACGATAAAAAAAATATTCGGTCATAAATAATATTGCAAGTTTCTTAGCTAAAATTGCCACATCCCGCTAGGAGTACTTAATAATATAGTTCAATGATATCATCTATATCCACTTCAGACAAGTCATCTTTTTTATCATCCTGTAACTTTGATAAGGTTCGATAGCGTGTAATTTCTAGACCAACTACCTATGCCATGTATTCCGCAAATTGGCTAGTAAATTATACACATTTTCTAGATCGTATGAAAACATATATCTTTCTAAGGTTATGGCCTTCGATTTACACTTACTGGTCTTAGTGGCTAATTTATATATTTCTTCTTTACACCCCATATCATCCTGGGGAATTTCTGCAAATAATGTTGTTAGCTTTAAGCAGATAGATTTTTCTTGCTTTCCTAGCATATTGAGGAAGGACTGGTAATAAGCATTGTTAATCAGGTGTTCTCCTTCCTTGTCGGCAAAAGTAGTATCAAATAATTTTTTCGCATAAGTGCTAGCTTCTTTCCATAGATGGGCTATGATGACTTCATCTTTTTTCAGACCATCACGTAGGTTTTTGATATACCCCTAATCCATTTTTCAGCTGATTTCTGCGCTAAAGCATCTCTTATTTTTGATATTTCATCTTCATCTATTTCATCTTCATCCTCTTCGTCTTCGTCCAGGTCATCTTCATCCACCTCACCATTATCCACTTTACTGTCACCTGCTTTATTACTATCTTTTAACTTTTTTAAGGCTCCTAGCACAATTTCAGATGATGGTTGATATTTTTCATCATAGTTAATAAATCGTGACAGAGGCCGACAACAGTTTTCAAATAATAGCTAATATCGATTTTTTTACCTAATCGCCTCACTACCTCTGAAAACTCCATTTTATCCCCTACCCTCTGTGATGAATCATTCTCAACTACAATATACTCAAAGCGTTCGCCCGGTTCTGGGATTTTATAAAGATAAGGCTCAGGTGTTAGGCCCTTTTTTATGCGCCGTTTGGCATCCGCTTCTTCACGGATATGTCTATCTCGCATTCATGAAATGAAGCGCTATACACTCTTGTTATTTTTATCGGGCTTCCACACAGCAGTTTTAATTATTTCATTAAGATCTATCTGTGAAATACCATTTACCATTTCCGTGAGTACACCCTTCACGATCTGATGCAAGGTACGTGTATTATTTACCCTGGTAGATTCTTCCATAATACGTTTTCCTATTTTACGGAAAAGACTAGACTGCCCCCGTTTTATAGTCTCAACTCCCCGAATGAAAAGTTTATTATTAAAGTTCGGCTTACTTATATGTGGAATGCCAAAGTATTTTTTCTTTCCAGTAAATGCTACCGGAAATAAAACTTCCTCATATGCCATTTTAAGATAAGGTGATCTGTTATCTTTCCTGAGGAAGCCATTAACTTCGTCGCGAAGCTTTTCCATTTCTTCTATAGATATTTTTACCATTCAAGACCAATATTCTTCTTTCGAGATCTCACTATTATTGTAAGCCTCGTCACATTCCTGGAAGCATTCTTCTAGACAGACAAGATATAAGGAATCAGTGTCACCATATTTTATCCTAAGCCCCTTGTTTTTAATGAAATATGCAACAAGTTTAATATTTCTCTGTCCAGCTGATGTGACGCCCCCAGCAAGTTCACGCAGGAAGAAAGGGGATTTACTATTTCCAGCAGTCCCATAGAATGTATTCATGTATACCTTAAAAGCATATTGTTTCGCATCTAAGCAAGAGCAGTCGAAACAAACAGAATCGTATTCTACCATGAATTCATGTTCCTCGTGTTTTTCTTTATTAATAAAGTGATATAAATTTTTAGTAATACCGGCATGTTTTTCTTCCTCCGTATTTGCCAAGACTTGCTCAAT